TGTGCGTTCTCAAAAAGTGTTCATGCTTGTGTGGGAGTGGTCGAGCAGTTAGATGTTTGTAATTCAATGCGCGGTGCCATGGTTCGAGGACGCCTAGCGGCAAATTTTTGCGCCATCGCTGGGTAATCTATGACAGCGGCCGCCATATGAAAAAATCGATGATGACCGCTATCAAGGATATCACCTAACAAATGGACAGAAAAAAACAAAGTTGACGTATTTTGAACAGGTTTCATGAAAAACTGAAATTTTTTGAAAAATAGAACGAAATAAATAAGGAGATTCTCGTATAATGCAGCTACTTCAAATGAACCAAGCCTGAAGAGAATTATGTTCTTGCTTTCCTCGACGCAATCAGCTGTTCATCGATCTTCTCCAACTTAGGCCTCCGAAATCGTGCAGTTTTGGGAGTTTTGCACCGCAAGAATACGTCGACTGAATTTTCCCGTAAGTTACTCACGAGTAACTTACGCGAAATTTGTCTGATCCTCCTCTTAAGCACACTATCTCTCTCGGGTCACCCTAAAATTCAACCTCGGACAAGTGGCATTCTGGTGAATTGACTGTGACACTTAACCAGACAGTCTTCTGACTGTTGAACTGACTATCCTAAAGCATAGGAAGGTGGGCGGGATTAGGTTCATCCGAGGAAGTTCTTCTGAATGACTAATCTCAAGTCACCTGAGATGAATGGGGGTTTACTACGGGCCAGTCTTAAGTTTCATGTAGTACTTCTTACATCAGTTTTCTGATTTTTACGAAAATTCTACCATAGTGCTACCGTAACCCCTTTATGGGGGAATAGTGAACAAAGTGGGCACTATAATTGTGATTAGCATGTGAAATAAGCCCAAAACACAATTTTTTTATGAAAATCCATGATCTTGGATCTGTACAAAATGACCGTTACCTTACCGTATGATGTCAAAAACTGAAGTAAATTATATTTTGATAATCAGCGCCGATAACTCCTCTGGGAATTTCGGAGATATTGAAATTTTTTTTCAAAAACACTTCCATCTCGGACAACACGACCCACGTGTGGATCTTGAGTTTGAAAAACGAAAAAAGGCTCTGGTCCGAAACGTCAGTAATCGAAAAATCGGCCTTGTTGAGAATGTGTTTTTTAATGGAGCCTTTGAGTTCGCTGCAAATAGGCTGTTTTTTCTTGTAAGTGTTCTTCGGTGGGCACATTTATTTGGTGAATTTTTCGCATATATTGATATTGATTCTTCTATATGAATTACGATGTCTACTTCACAGTGGTATGATCCAACGATGAATCTATGCGAAAATATTTTTCTTGGAAAATCGCAACCAATGGGCAGCGTTTCCATAAAGGGTTCATATGAGAAATATTCATTCTGCATTAATACATTGCATCAGAACTATGTAAATTTCCCGATGTGAAAGATTTGTATCTAAATGTACTGTGAATAGCGAGTATGCCCCCTTCGTTTCTACAAAAGCAGCCCTGAAGGTGTCGCTAACAAACAGCCTGAAATGTCGGCTTTGCTTCTATTGGTAGGTCGAGTAAATTTTCAAAATTTATTTCTTTGTGTTCCAAAAGTTTTTCTGTTTCTCAGTACATCATAAAAACCCTTGGATAAAAGACAAAAGTCTCAAGGCTGTTCGATGTAGATTTTCTTCCTCTCTCTGGTCATGTTTCTGATCTGATTATTTTTGTGGTGATTAAAATAGTCACGCGAATTTTGAACGCATGGTTTTTCCTATCTCCGAATTTTGTAATTTTCAAATTTGTTATTACACATTTCTTAGAGCGTTCCAGGAAACATCAGATAGAGTAAACAAAGTGGTCAGCAGAATTTTTGCAATCATTAGCTGGCTTTTTGGAGCTGCTGGAACTGTTTTTTTAGGTAGTCAAGGTATTTGTTTGGACACTTAGTACTAAAGTGTGAGAGTAAGCAAGTATCATCCGATGCAGCTTCTTCCTTTTCTTAAAATGTGCGTTTCACTTTCAACTTCAAGAACGAACGTCGCGGCTTGAAGTATCATGATCTTTGTTCTAGAGTAAGCCCAGAGCTAAACTCGAGATATCGAAATGCGATCTTTCGAAACTTTTCAGCGCTTCTGAAGCGCTGCAGAAGCTATAGTATTCTATCTTTATGCGCAGAGTTTTCGAGCTAATTTGTAGACGGATTCTTTCAAATCTTTTCATGTAGAAAGCTGAAGCGAACGTTCGCTAAGGCTTAGGGCTTTGACACTATATTCATTTTGACAAACATTTCCCAAATTGTTGAGAAAAAATCAAAAGAAAGATGGGACGAAACTTATCACACTACTCAATAAAAGGTAAGGTTTCTTCGACATGAAATATTGCTGCCGAACTTTTACACTTCTGAAAAAATGTGTTTTTTTGTTGTTCGTTTTTTCTGAACAGTAATGCTGAACTTTATCAGAAGAAATTCTTTTCTTCAATATTGTACAAACGCACGAAAAACACTAAACAAGGTTTTCAAGAGGTAATCTTGAGTTAAGGTTAAATTAACGTTGCCAAGTTTGTCAGCAGATAAAGTACCGAGTATTGCAAAAAGTGCCTCTGACCCTTGAGAGAGATAAATGCTTGCAGCTAACATCACCGGGACCAATTTTTCTTCCATCACTTTTACAAGACAATTATAGTGATATTGAGCTAAATAAACTCAAAGCTTTGTGGAGCTCGTAAACATTGACAAACATGGTTTTTTATTTTTTTCTTGGGAAAAAACTCCGAAAAATCTTTTCAGGGACTCCTGTGCGTGAGTGTGCATCAACTTGCAAGAGCTGGTATGTTCATCCTAATGTGTTGCTATTGAAATCAACAACTTAGACAAAGCTTTGTTTTGCAGAATACACCTGCTCTGGAACTGCACTCTCAGAGGACGAACGAAGGTTGATGGAGACACTTCACAATATAAGAAGGTTGGTATCAAGAAATCAAACTTTTATAGCATTATTTCTGACGAATTATAATGGAAGGATGGGCAATGTGGGTGACATCGAAAAGAAATGATTAAGTAAGATTTTGGCTTTACTACAAGCTTAGGCTGAGTACGGTCGTTTCGCTAGCTTCGCACTGTTAAAAACCTCTATGTCGTTCCGCTTACTCCTCGATTCAAGTGGCTTTACGGGTGGAAGGCGGAGCTTGGTGACCTAATTAAGGCTAGGTAGTGATCAGAGAGCAAGCGCGTGAGAGAGACGCAGACTGCGTGGCGGGCACGAGGCGGCCTTAATTAAGTACAAAACCTCGCCTTCCAGCCGCCAAGCCACCTTGGATCAAAGGTAGCAGTATTGAATGGCCTTAAAAGCGTGAAAGAAGGGAACTTTTATGTTTTGTATGGCCATTACATGATGACTAGCTTTCACTCTCTTTCTCAGTTGGACCCGCACTCTTTAACACATTGACGACCAAGGCCTTTCTCGGACCACCCAACATTTTTCAAATAAAATCACGCACAATTCCATCTCTAGTATACCTACAGTAGCGTTGGAATGCTGGAAAAAACAAGAGAGGTTGTACCTAGATCCAGCATAAAAGGAAACTCCCAGAGTTGGTTTGGCACAAATTAGTAGCCATTCCAATGAGAGCCATGGTGTGTCAAGCCTTGAGCCTGGTCGTCAATGTGTTAAAGTTGCAAATGGGACTGTTATTATGTGAATTCAAAGTGACGGTGCTTTTTTTCCAGAAGAGAAGTAGAGCCCAAGGAATTGTCAATAATGGAATCGGCGGCACGAAGCTATTGCAAGCGAGAAGTATGAGAAAAATTGTAATTTTTTTTGGTATGTGTGGTTGCTGATAGCCATAGCTCTGCACTTTGTAGGACTACGATTGTGATCTGGAGACTGGTGCTCAAACCGTGGCTAATTCGTGCACACTCACACAAACTCCTGAGGATAAGCGTCCATTACATGGTGAAAATATAGCTGTGATTGAACCCAGCGGTGTTTCATATACTAATGGACAACTCTTGGCCAATGTGAGCTTTTCTCAAGATAATTTGTATACGTTAAAGGCATCTTCCTCTAAGTTAGGAGCCTTAAGCTTTTGAAATCATAAAATAGTATGGCCTCCTATCAAGCCAGTGCCCAAATCGCAGCTCAAAATTTCGCCTACGAGGCGAGACAATCGCTGCGATTTAACGAAGAGGCACGAGGACTCTAAGTAGGCACCACCCCTCCAGTAATGCCCGTCCATCCGTGCCTGCTCAATCAATCACCGTTCACCCTTACGCGCGGGTTCTCCTAAGCGGGAATTGTGCGATTTTCGCGGATTCTCGACTTCATATTTGGAATCAGAGACATGAGAAGGTCCCGAAACGACAAAAACGTGGGAGTCGAGAATCTGTGTGGGCGGTGCTTTCAAAGCAGTGGTTACGCTAAGTAAGATCTTTTCAATGATTGCTAGATAATGTACCATAATCCAACAGCGCAAACGCAACATATTCACGATAAATTCCTCTGATTGCATTAATGGCTGAAGATTGCTGTCACAATGTTCCTTTCTAATGAATACAAATTTAGCCTTTTCCCGTATCTCGAATTTGCTTCATAAGGGATAAACGGGCTGCTCGGTTATCTAATGACATGAATGCAAATGCACAGAAACACAATATTTACAACTTGAATTTCACTTTTTTCTGCAAACTTTATCCCTTTCTTTCCTTGTGCTTTTCCCTTTCACAGCTTGTCAAGATTTTTGGCACTGTCTCCTATGGCGACTGTCCGGCGTCAAAAGCCAGTGATGAAAGCTATCGTAACGTTTGTGTAAAATTCAATCGTTAGCTGTTCGAAGGAGTTTTCTCGTTGAGTTGTCAGCCAAAGGCAAAGGTGAGGAAAGTATCTACCAACCAGAGAGAAAGCAATTGCCTCAAAGAGATTCGATAGTTTTGTTTTTTCAAGCGGGACAAGTTCTTGCACTATGAAATTGGACTTCTGCATAAGGTACACACCTAAATGTAGGAGATTGTTTTTGAGATTTTTGTACATCTGTCATCTTTCAGGCAGCCGATCAGTGGTTCACGGAAATTTTGAGGAATGGCATGAATAAAGAAACACACTTCATTCCTTACTTTAGGGACAAGCCGCTCTCACCCTTGAGATGGTCACAGGTAATTACAAAAAATATAATTAGGTTGCCTGATATCCCAGACCATCTGATATTACTGAGCTTGGTTGTAAAACCAAGCTCAGTAATATCAGATGGTCTGGGCAAAGTCAAACAAAATTGGCTGTGGTGTCAAAAACTGCTTTGGCCTTTTCTACTTTGTTGTGTGTCGTTACTCGCCAAAGTAAGTTTAACCCTTTTTAGGTCTAAAGGGCTTTATTCTGCTGTTGCAGGGGTAACGTTCTTGACGACCATGTTTATACCACAGGAACACCGTGCACTCAATGCGAAAGCGGATGCTACGATGGTGTACTTTGCAACTAAGATGCCATTTCAGCTCAAGTTTTGTAACACCAAACTAACATTTTTATTATGGCTTTGAAGCTTGAGAAATGATTTATAGCATATAAACTTTGCTTGGGCTTTCTCTTGAAATGTTTCAAGGATTAATTGGAACTAGCTACACAAACGCCATCACTTGGTGTCATTTAAACCATGGTAGGACCCACGAATATCCCCAGAACCAAAATCAATTGATAAATCTGTGCCACTTGGATGGCCATAACAAAATGTGCAACATTTTGAGAGTTAAGCATCTTATCTTCGAAATTGTGAAGGAATGGATAGGCGGCCTTATTGGTTTCGAGCAATTTCGTTTATCCCCCTACATTTTTTAGCTTTTCATGAACTATAAATCAAATTATACTCAACCTAAAATCTAGAAAATATAATTTACGTCAGTAAACACGTAAGAACAGCTGCACTAGATTAGTTAATTCGCTGGATATAAGTTTGAATTTTGCACATCACCATAAAAGTTAGTCCTTTAGTTAGCTAAAAGTCTCTGCCGTATCCTACAGTAATGAAGAGCAGTCGAGCATTTGCTTCAAGTTGTGAATACGAGTTGAAGCCAGCTCTACAAAATGGTGCCTGAAGGCAGGCAAGAGGTCTTCTTGATTCTTGTCTTATTCGCAGAATCTCTAATTCAAAATGCTATAAGCTTTTTTTCAAAATTAACGTTGCTTTCACTCTCGACCAGGGCCCGGCAAATGACAAGCTAGAAATCGTGGATAAAGTAAAGGGGATGTAGCTTTTGCAGGACCCGGAGCTAAGCCCCGGGGAAAAACTGGTAGTTGAAATGGCAATTAACCTGGTCTCTTTCCCGTAGATTGGGCTTTCGCGCCCATAAAATCCGTAGTCGCTGATTGCCACACGCGCGACGTCGCTCAACCGATGCAACGTACAGGGCTACTTCTCAATGTATGAGTAACGGTATTTCACCAAATTGCGTAAATGAACGAAGATAGGCTACTGGGGACAAGTTAGGAACCACTATGAAAAACTTACGTGATTGGATGGTGTGCCAAGCTTGTTTTCCAAAATTTCTCATAATTGGTGAGTGGAGATGTGAGTTAAAATGGCTCTTTTTTGGAGCACAGATAGCGTTATGGTACAAAACTTGCTACATACATATACACGAGCATATAGGAGTAGCGAGAGGTTTCGTGGAAAAACTATGCGATTGAAGGTTGTGGCAAGCTTTTTTCTGAAAATTTTCAATTGCAAGAAAGGCATTGCTAACAGACGGTTTCAGCGATGCTTGCTTCGATTTTTTGGGGTAAGTTCATGTTAAATCACTGTGCACGTTTTCAAGATAAAGAAAATTTTATTGGAAAGTTCCGTAATCGGATCTGGATGGTAAAAAGAAGTGGCGATGTCACCTGCAAGGCAAAATATCAAACAACCCTGCAGTTGAGTTTAGACTTCAAACACACTGACACCAGCACGAACTTGAATGTTATTTAACGATACGTACATACGCGTAAGATTCTGCAGTGGTCCATCAGCAGTACGCAACACCTCCTAGACAATAATGTCAATCCATTATTTTCCCTTTCTCCACTTGAGTTCACATTATGTAAGTTCACATTATGTATTATGTAATCCTATCTTGCAATCAGCTAAGGCTGGGTCCAGAGTTGCCCGTACCAGCACCTTGCTAGCGCCATGATTTAGCTCTGACCGATCAATACAGGGCGCGTGCACGTGCGTCTCAGCAGGGCACCACTGCAGAATCTTACGCGTATGTACGTATCGTTAAATAACATTCAAGTTCGTGCTGGTGTCAGTGTGTTTGAAGTCTAAACTCAACTGCAGGGTTGTCTGATATTTTGCCTTGCAGGTGTAGGGCACCAGCATAGCGCATGGTCCTGGCACAGCTTCGGCTCACAAATAGCCCAGAAGCAGCCTTTTAGAGTGAAGTCATTATTAGGAGGGGGTTGGTTTGTCTCTTATTCTGCTCGTTTCTGATCCATCAAGGCTCTGTTTGCTCGCGCCTGAACTCTTCTTCTTCTCCTTCTTTTCTTCTGTTCCCTACAGACAAATCCTCCCTTCATGGCCATATCTGTACCAATCATCTAGCATGCAGTTTTTCTGATGCTTTACTGAGCTCTGCTGCCATTTGTAGAACTCTCAACTTTGATCAAAGAAAATGCTCAGTCTAGATGTAATTTTTGAACGTGGTCGTACATATGCTTGTAATTTACTATAAATGTGCAGACAGTTTTTGCCAAATAATCGCTATCTCCGGAGTACGAGGTTGTTTCAAAAATTCTGTACTACTTGCAGATTTTCTGATCCGAAAAGTTAGAACTTCCTATTTTTGACTAACTTAAACCTCAATGGATTAAGCGGAAGGGCTGCTAAAAAAATAGCGTGACATTTAAGAGAGGAAAGTGAGAGAGAAGCGAAAATTGTAAAATTGCACGAATTTTTCTTCAAGATCACAGTGACCTAGTCATGTTCCCATTCAAGAAAAGGATGACAAGTTTGGTTACCATATCTGAGTAACCTTTTTTTCAAAGATTATATTGTAACTAGAGAAAGTTTGTTTATCTTTGCTTCAAGAAGTTATGCGAGCAATTTGAAAAAGAGCCACTATTTTCCTCCTTGCGCACTAGTATGCCGACTTTCTAACTTTTAATTTATTTTGTTCATCGCGGGCGAAAAAAGGGCTGTTGATCCCCTCTTGCCCTTTTACTCTGATGTAAGCAATAACAAGCAAATCATCTTTGTGCGTAGGTTAATGCTTAATAGCGGAGAGAAGCTCTGGTTTTTGAAGGCAAAGCTAGAAGGTACACTTCTATCTGAGAGTAAAAATGTGCAGATGTTAGCCCATTACACTCTTGCCCAATATAAAATTCGACATTGTGGAATCCTTGGACGCTGCTGAGTTTCCTTCTAAAAAACAATTTGTTTAATTTAGACAGCATTTTGGCAACTTTTGCTCTAAGTTTTTAAATCCCATAATCCCATATTGGGATATTTCATCGAGATATGATAAAATTCGAGAGGAACAAAAAAAGCGTTTTCAGGATACAATTGTATTGCGTTGAACGCAATGCTCTATATTAATAACTTTGACCTTAAGGCAATCAAATCGGACAAATCTTTCAGAACAATATAGTATTTCGTACAGGCAATCAACGAGAGGAAATCTTCTTTCCATTTAGCATTACACTGTAGCAGCAATTCTCTGCCATAATTTCAAAATTACAAAGTACAAATGGGTTTGAACGCTGAAAAAACAGTTCGAAAAGTCGCGGCATGCATGGGTCGAATGCTGTAGCTTCGCGGACTAAGCATTGGTTCTAATATTGCAAGCAAATGGTCTACTTTTTCACGCTTCTTCGGCTCCAACGTCAGGCATGGGTGCAGGGTGTAGCGGTGCAGGGTGAAGCAGATGACTACAGCTTTGCAACTGCTACTTCAAAGTATTTTCGAGTGAGAAATACTGCGGGATCGAATGAAAAAGAGCATTGCTTGAGAGGTTTGTATAATGATGGAAACTAAAGTTCGTTTGAGACGCAAAATTCCTCTTTTAGATCGGCACAGATTTTCTTGTTCTGCATACATCGGGCTATGCTATTTCACATAGCACTTTCTAATTTTGCAAAAGTGCCAAACACAAAATAAGGGATTATATAACTATGGACCGCAATCTGTCTGGGGGTGATGGAGAGAAATGAGAGAGAGTGATCGTTGTCTAGAAAATGGCAACTGTAAATTTTGGAACTTCGCCAGGATATGCACCAACCTCTAGCAAAGGTGCAATGGTTGTGAGGAGAAATTTCAGGATTCGAAGTATACACTAACACAAAACAATGCAGTGTGTAAGGGGAGATTTTGAAGATTGGTTTCGAATTCTTTCGATTCCAGGTGCTTGAAAGAAAATGCTGCAAAAGAGAGTACTAAACGTAGACAGAAACTGATTGCCATTGTAAGGCATCACCACATGTTTGCTATATCTCTACAACATGTTATTTGCATCTTCTAAGGTAAAATTCCGACAAATGGGCGCTCACACCCTTGCTCGTATCTCTAATCCACGACGCAAGTAGAAAAGTCGTTCCAGCGATCTAATTATAATGTTAATAGTCCTTGTCGACTGGAAGGAAACTATAGCAAAGCGAAATACCTTCCAAATTTCTATGGCTAGTACGTTGGTAGAGGAAACGGACTCAATCCCTCAATTCGATGAAAGTTAGAATCATCTGTTTACGTAAAAGTACTTAATTGCTCAGTAGGTCCCCTGAACGCGAAAGTGATCATCTCCTGACACTGCACAATACGACCCACCGGTGGGTCGTAAGATTCCTGAAGCTCAAGCTTTTCCAGTTTATGATGGAAATTTACGGGGTTCTAGCATATGATTGGAACACCTAAGCGAAGCTCGTGCTAGAGTGATCCGGTCACGAGATACTGTAATGTAATGTTACGGTGAGTATACCGTATACAGAGGTAAATCACAGACTTTGGTTCAATTTCTTCGCAGGATTATGTTGTTTCTGAAATTTTAAGTGTACATGAACGACAAAGGGGCGGACAGGAACTGATAACTGATAGCCCATCGAAAAATTATCGCTTCTATTGATTTTTGCATTGTTCATTGCATGAATAATTTCCTTGTAGATCGCAAACAATGGGCAGATATCGAAAAGGTCT